TGCTGGAGACAGTGGGGCCCATCCTGTGAGCTGCCTTTCTCAGGACCCCTGCCCCAGGCTACCTCAGCCCCACCCTGCCAATTCCCTTCTGCCAGCATGGCTTCAAGTCACAGGGCGGGTCCAGGTGGCTGCCTGGGGCAAAAGGAGTGATATGGGATCTTTTACAGCCAGGGACAAAGTTCTCCCCTGATTTAAGCCCAGGTAGGCTGAACTGGAGCTGGCACCTTGGTGTCCCGGCCTCATCACCCAGCCACCATCCCACAGACATGAGAGGGGACTGGGTTCTGCCATTGCTGCTGCTGCTGCTGGGCCTGAGGCTGCAGCTGTCCTTTGGCATCATCCCAGGTAATGAGGCTCCCCCCAGCCACCCCCCAACCACAGGGTGTCTCCCCTGGGCTGACCCGGCCTCCACCNACTCTCCCCTTGGGCAGTTGAGGAGGAGGACCCAGCCTTCTGGAACCAACAGGCAGCCGAGGCCCTGGATGCTGCCAAGAATCTACAGCCCATTCAGACGGCAGCAAAGAACCTCATTCTCTTCCTGGGGGACGGTGAGTCTACAAGCCTCCCCCTTCGCCCCGCAGCCCCCACAGTCCTCACAGCCCTGGCACCCAAGGGCCCTGGGGATACAGGCCAGCCCTGGATGCCTCACCTTGTCCTGCTGTTCAGGGATGGGAGTGCCCACAGTGACAGCCACCCGGATCCTAAGCGGGCAGAATAAAGGCAACCTGGGGCCAGAGACGCCCTTGGCCATGGACCAGTTCCCATACCTGGCTCTGTCCAAGGTAAGGACTGGGACACCTGAGTCCTCCGCACAAGAAGGTGGGGATCGTCCTTGGGACATGGCAGGAGGGAAGGGCCCCGGGAATGGTGAGGATGGGCCCCAGGTCCGGGGTTCAATTGATCTCGGTGTCTGCACCACAGTGTAGCTGAGGATGTGTCTGTCCCCAGACATATAACGTGGACAGACAGGTGCCGGACAGTGCAGGCACAGCCACGGCTTACCTGTGCGGGGTCAAGGCCAACTACCAGACCATTGGCGTGAGTGCAGCCGCCCGCTATAACCAGTGCAACACAACACACGGCAACGAGGTCACCTCTGTGATGTACCGGGCCAAGAAAGCAGGTGGGCTTCGGGCCCAGTCGTGGGGTCATGGGCTGGCCCTGGCACCTGGGTCACCCACCCTGACCTCTGCCACCCTCAGGAAAATCAGTGGGAGTGGTGACCACCACGAGGGTGCAGCACGCCTCGCCAGCTGGCACCTACGCACACACGGTGAACCGCAACTGGTACTCGGATGCTGACATGCCGGCCTCGGCACAGCAGGAGGGCTGCCAGGACATCGCTGCGCAGCTCATCTCCAACGTGGACATTGATGTGCGCCACCGAGGGTCAGGGGGAGGGGTTGGGCACAGGGGTGGCCCCACACTGGCTACAGACCCAGATAACCATCAGCTTTAGCCCTGGGGCCTGGCAGGGTCTTGGGGGCTGGGCATGTAGAAGGTACGTCCCCCAACGGTACATTCCCACAGCCCTACTGGGGGACCTAAGGCTGTCTGTGAGAAGGGGACACAGGGCTAGCCAGGACCTAGCCCACGCCCACCCCCCATCCTCTGGCTCCAGGTGATCCTGGGTGGGGGACGCAAGTACATGTTTCCCAATGGGACTGCAGATCCTGAGTACCCAAGTGACGCCAGCCAGAATGGAATCAGGCTGGACGGGAGGAACCTGGTGCAGGAGTGGCTCACCAAGCACCAGGTACTGGAGGCTCTCAGGTTGGGGGACACAGCAGGGATGGGGGCAGGGGACACGAGTCACAGAGCCATGGGCTGAGGCCCTGCTGTGTTCCTCTAGGGAGCCCAGTACGTGTGGAACCGCACAGAGCTCATTAGAGTGTCCCAGGACCTGTCTGTGACCCACCTCATGGGTAAGGACCCCTTCCTGCCCTGTTGTCCGGGGCGAGCCAGGACCTAGCCCACGCCCACTCCCCATCCTCTGGCTCCAGGTGATCCTGGGTGGGGGACGCAAGTACATGTTTCCCAATGGGACTGCAGATCCTGAGTACCCAAGTGACACCAGCCAGAATGGAATCAGGCTGGACGGGAGGAACCTGGTGCAGGAGTGGCTCACCAAGCACCAGGTACTGGAGGCTCTCAGGTTGGGGGACACAGCAGGGATGGGGGCAGGGGACACGAGTCACAGAGCCATGGGCTGAGGCCCTGCTGTGTTCCTCTAGGGAGCCCAGTACGTGTGGAACCGCACAGAGCTCATCAGAGTGTCCCAGGACCTGTCTGTGACCCACCTCATGGGTAAGGACCCCTTCCTGCCCTGCCGTCCCTCAGATGGCGGCCATGGGAGCCTTTGTGCACAACGTGTGTACCAGGAGCCCTCCCACCCCCCTGCCCCCAGTCACCCCTGGCCCCCTTACCCCACAGGCCTCTTTGAGCCCGGAGACATGAAATACGAGAGCAACCGAGACCACACGCTGGACCCCTCCCTGATGGAAATGACAGAGGCGGCCCTGAGCCTGCTGAGCAGGAACCCCCACGGCTTCTACCTCTTCGTGGAGGGTACGTGGTGGCCTCTGCACTGCAGGGGAGGGGAGGGGGCCGGGGCGCTTCAGGCACGACCCCCTCCCGCTGGCCTTTTGCAGGGGGCCGCATCGACCACGGCCATCACGAGAACAAGGCTTACCAGGCACTGAACGAGGCGCTCATGTTTGACTCGGCCATCGAGAAGGCGAGCCAGCTCAGCAGCGAGAAGGACACGCTGACCCTCGTCACCGCGGACCACTCCCACGTCTTCTCCTTTGGTGGCTACACACTGCGGGGGAGCTCCATCTTTGGTAGGCCCGGGAGAGCGGCGGCTGCCCTTGCAAAACCCACATGGCGGGAGTCTCCCTGAACCTCGGTTTCCTCATCTGTCGAATGACAGCACCTGCCGGTGCTTAGCGCACAGGAGGCGTCCATAAGCTGTGCTTAGAGCCGCCACACGGTGCCCACCCCTCCCCACAGGGCTGGCCCCCAGCAAGGCCCAGGACGACAAGGCCTACACCTCCATCCTGTACGGCAACGGCCCGGGCTACGTGCTCTCCACGGGCTCCCGGCCCGACGTCAACGACACCCTGAGCGGTGAGTGGAACACGGTGGCTCGCTCGGGCGGACCCTGGGGAGGGGCTCCATGAGGAAGAGGCCCCCTGCCAGCCGGCCACCCCCGCTGAATGCCGCCCTCCCGGCAGGGGACCCGGACTACCAGCAGCAGTCGGCCGTGCCGCTGTCGTCGGAGACGCACGGCGGGGACGACGTGG